AAGGAAGGAAGGAAGGAAGGAAAAGGGAGGAAGGAAGGAGGAAGGAAGGAAGGAAGGAAGGAAGGAAGGGAAGAAGAAGGAAGGAAGGAAGGATGGAAGGACAGAAGGAAGGAAGGATGGATGGACAGAAGAAGGGAGGGAGGACAGAAGGAAGGAAAGAAGGAAGGAAGGGGAAGGGAGGGGAAGAGGGGAGGAGGGAGGGAGGGGGAGGAGAAAATGAGAGGAATGGAAAGAACAAAGGAGGGAAGGCTAATTCTATCCAACTTATTAGATCACCAACTCAGTTTAACTCTATGAGCTGTGAATGGTCTAATCAAGAGCGTGGGGTTGTTAAAACAGCAAGTGCCTGGTCATCAAACAATCTTTGGTTCAAATCCCAGCCAGGACACTTCCTGCCTGTGTGACCACAGGTGGGTCACTCCATCCTTTGGAGTCACCAAGTCTAAGTCTTTCTGTCTAGGTTTTTCTACTTTCATAATAGAAATAATATTTACTTGAGAATATAAGGATATCTGGCATTCAGTATGTACTAAAGCAAATATTGCCAAAGGAGATTTCTGAGTAAATGAGAACATACAGGCTTGGCTGGGGGCTCCTTCTTGTTCTCTTCATTGTTTTCATGAGCCTGTCACTGGAACCAGTTGAGGATCACAAATATGTACTTTCCACAAACAAATGTCAAACCTCCCAACAAAGAAAAGCCCAAGACAGTTGGATTCACTGTTGAATTTTGCCAAACGTTTCAAGGAGAATTAATGCCAATTTTCTCAAACTCTTCCCAAAAACTGAAGAAGAGGGAACATGTCCACTCATGTTACGGGCCCGGCATGACGCTGTTACCAAAGCCAGGCAAAGAAAGACACAAGAAAACAAACTACTACAGACCAATCTATCTGATGACTATGGATGCAGAACTCCTCAACAAACTACTAGCAAATAGAATCAATAGCTCTTTAGGGGATCACACACCATGAGCAAATGCAGTTTATCTCTGGGGTATAAGGACGGTTCAACATACAGAAATCAATTCATGTGATACCCCACAGTAACAAAATAAAAGATAAAATCACATGATTGTCTAAATAGAGGCAGAAAAAGCACTTGACAAAAGTAAGCACAATTCCATGATAAAAATCCTCAACAAAGTTAGGAATAGAAGGGAACACAACAGAGGTCATATATGAAAAGCCTACAATTAACATTATGGTGAAAAACTGAGTTTCCTCTAAGATCAGAAATGAGGCAAGGATACCCACTGTCCCCACTTCTATTCAACATAGTACCATAAGTCCGAGCCAGAGTATTTAGTCAAAAACAAAATAAAAGGCATCCAAATAGGAAAGAAAGAAGTAAAATCATCCCTGTTTGCACTTGACACAATCTAATGTATAAAAAACCCTGAAGATGCCACAGAAAAAAATAGAACTAATGAATTCAGTAAAGTTGCAGGATATAAAATCAACATACAAAAATCAGCTGTGTCTCCATACACTAATAATGAATTTTCTGAAAATGAAATTAAAGAAACAATCCCCTTTACAATAGCACCAAAAAGAATAAACACTTAGGAATAAATTTAACTAATAAAGTGAAAGACTGGCATATAGAAAATAACAGGGCGCCTGGGTGGCTCGGTCATTAAGCGTCTGCCTTCGGCTCAGGTCATGATCCCAGGGTCCTGGGATCGAGCCCCGCATTGGGCTCCCTGCTCAGCGGGAAGCCTGCTTCTCCCTCTCCCACTCCCTCTGCTTGTGTTCCCTCTCTCACTGTGTCTCTCTCTGTCAAAATAAATAAATAAAATTAAATTTAAAAAAAAGAAGAAGAAAAAAGAAATTATGGCATGAGCAAATGGAAAGGCATCCATTTCGTGGATTAGAAGACTTACTATTATCAAAATGTCCACATCACCCAAAGCAATTTACAGATTCAATACAATCGCCATCAAAACCCCAATGGCATTTTTTTTTTACAGAAATAAAAAAGCAAGTATAATTCGTATGGAACCACAAAAGATCACAAACAGCTGAATCAGTCTTGGGCAAAAGCAAAGCTGATGACATCACACTTACTGATTTCAAATTATATTACAAAGTTACAGTCATCAGAACAGCATGGTGCTGGGATAAAAAACAGACATAGAGACCAATGGAATAGAATAAAGACCCCAGAAAAAAAAATCCATGCATATATGGTCAACAGCTCTTTGACCAGGGTACCAAGAATACACAGCAGGGAAATGTAGCCTCTCCAACAAATGGTGCTGGACATCCACACACGAACGAACTTGCACCCTTATCTCACACGACACCCAGAAGACAACTCAAAATGAGTTAAAAGATTTAATGTTAAATGTTAAGACTTGAAACTATAAACCTCCTAGAAGAAAACATAAAAAAAAAAAAAAAAGCTTCAAGACTCTGGTCTTAGCAATGATTGCATGGGTATGACATCAAAAACACAGATAACAAAAATAAACAAGTATACCAAACTAAAAAGCTTCTGCACAGTAAAGGAAATAGTCAACAGAATACAATGACAACCTACAGCGTGGGAGAAAATATTCAGAGGCCATATATCTGATAAGGGGTTCATCTCCAACATATGTAAGGAGCTCCTTCAATTCAATAGTTAAAAAAAAATTTAAAAACTAAGAACCTGATTTTAAGATGGGCTACTGACTTGAATAGATGTTTCTCCAAAGAAGATGTACAAATGGCTCACAGCTACGTTAAAACATGCTGAACAGGACTAATCATCAGGGAAATGCAAATCAAAACCACAATAAGGGGCACCTGGGTGGCACAGCTGGTTAAGCTTCTGACTCTTGGTTTTGGCTCAAGTCCTGATCTTGGGGTCATTGGATTGAGCCCTGTGTCTGGCTCCATGCTTGGTGCAGAGTCTGCTTGGGATTCTCTCTCCCTCTCCCTCTCCCCTCCTATCATGCTCTCTCTCTCTCAAATAAATAAATACATCTTTAAAAAAACACACAATAGGGGCGCCTGGGTGGCTCAGATGGTTAAGCGTCTGCCTTCGGCTCAGGTCATGATCCCAGGGTTCTGGGATCGAGTCCTGCATCGGGCTCCCCGCTAGGCGGGGAGCCTGCTTCTCCCTCTGCCTCTGCCTCTCTCTCTCTCTCTCTCCTCTGCCTCTGCCTCTCTCTCTCTCTCTGACTTTCATGAATAAATAAATAAAACATTAAAAAAACCACACACAATAAAATATCACCTCACACTTGTCAGGGCGGCCACTATCGAAAAACAAAACACAACAACAACAACAACAACAAAGAGCAAATGTTGGCAAGGATGTGGAGAAATTAGAGCCCTTGCACACTCTTTGTTTCTATCGGAATGTAACATGTAATGTTTCTATGGTGGAAATGTAATACGGCACAGCCACAATGGAAAACAGCATGGAGGTTCCTCAAAAGATTAAAACTAGAACTACCATATGATTCAGCAATCTCACTTCTAGATATTTACCCAAAATAATTGAAATCAGGATCAGGAAGAGATAACTGCACTCCTGTATTCATTGTAGCACTAGTCATAATAGCCAAGATGTGGCAACAATGTAAATGTCCATCAACAACAGATGAATGAATTTTTTAAAAATGTGATATATAGGTACAATGAAATATTATTCAGCTTTTAAAAGAGAAAGAAATTTTACAATGCAAATTCTATAATACAACATGGAGGAATCTTGAGGAAGCCATGCTAAGTGAAATAAGCCAGTCACAGAAAGACAAATACTGCATGCTTCTACAGATACAAAGTATCTACAAAGATATAAGTATCAAAGTCCTAGAATCAAAGAAAGGAATGGTGGTTGCCCCGGGCTGAGGGGCTGGGGAAATGGGGAGTTACTAACCAAGGGGCATAAAGTTTCAGCTATGTAAGATAATGAATAAACTCTAGAGTTCTGCTGTTCAACATTGTACCCATAGTCAACAATAATATATTGCGCCCTTAAAAATTTGTTAAGAGGGTAGATCTCATGTCAAGGATTCTTTCCACAACAAAAGTTCTTTATAAAATGCCTACACCGCAGGAAAGAGTTGATGTTGGCCATCTCCTAAATTTGTGGCTTTTGTTTTTCCATTTTCCTCATTTAGATACTCAAGGAAGAAAACAGCATAAGCAATCTTGAAATAATTACCACTGTAATCCATCTAACCCGGGGCTGCCGTGGTAACTTAATTTACAAAATGAAATTACAGTGGATCCAAAGGAAACTATTCAGACTTTCTTTCACATTTCAAATTTGGCAAACTGAAAACTTTCTGTCAAACAGGAAATTCCCAGTGCTCAGCAACCAACACAGAAACAGACACGCAGACACGCACATACACATGACCCTAGGGGTTGGGACTTTTATATTTTGTTAATGAAATTTTTAAAAATCCATCATCCTTACCTTTCCAAAACTCCCTTTGCCAATGGCCCGCAGAATCTGAAAATGGTCAAAGTTGACTGCAAAAGAAAATGAGGGAAAGAAAGAAACAGATCAGATTTGCTAAACCTTGCCCTGGTTCTTGAAAGTTCTCCCTACATACCTACCCGTGTATTCCAAATGGCTTCTGGTTTCAATTGCATTATATTTGCCATGGCAACACTCCACCACTGTATGGATACTTCTCAGCACATTTTATTCCCCCCGCCCCAAGCCAACACGTCCCCAGTGGGTATATAGGATGAGAGACATCTTATGGGCTCAGGGGAAGGGATCACAGAGAAAAATCTGGATACTTGGATTACCAAATTCTTGCACTCGCTGTTGTTCCCTTTGCCAGGATGACTTTTCCCTACCTCTGGTTCTTGTCTTACCCATCTGGCACTCTTATCTTGCATGTTCGGATCTTACACACTCAGCTCATCTGTCTCAGTATCCAAGGTGTTAACTCAGTCTCCTTTATGGTATCTGAACCCTCAAATGCAATGACCATATCGTGGGTCTTTCCTGCTTGGATGTCTGTTTAGCCCTGGCATTGTGAGCTACTGGAGAATGGAGACACTGATCCCTCAGTCTCATCTTGGTATTGCCCCATCTCACAGGTCTCCCCATTCTTGCAATTTCTACTGCCTTACTCTGGTCTGGTTTCCACCCCATCCCTACAGCACAGCAGACCAACAACGCATGGTCATGCCACTAAATCCAATAGACACCTTTCTGTCCTCCTTGTACTTGGTCACTCTGTCCTTTTTGAAGCACCTGCTTGGCTTCTACGGAAGCCAGTTCATGCTTCAGCTCATGCTTTGTGCACACTCAGCTTCATCCTCCCAGCCACTAAATACGAAAGCCTGTCAAGCCTCCATCTACCACCTTCCTTTTCTCACTGGCTTCAAAGGCTTCAGCCACCACCTAATTGCCAATGACTCTCCAAGGAACCTCTTCTCTAGACTCCAGCCTGTATGTACTGATTGATGCCTGCTCCACAGCAACTCTTGAAGGCTCCAAAGCCACCTTGAATCCCACAGGTCCAAATGGAGCTTAGGAGGAGTACTTCATCACACATTTGAACTCGTGCACTCAAAGCCTGGAACTCATCCAACAACCCTCTCTCGCTCAACCCCTTAGCTAGCCCTTCATCAGGTTAGGTCCACTGTACCTCTTGGCTATCTCTCCCATCTGTCCACCGGTAGCCACCCTCTGGTTCAGTCCTCCATCCTCTCTTGACCTTCTCATCCTGGGATATGTACTTGTTACAGGCAAGGGGTCTTGTCCATCCTCTGCTCCCACCCCTCGATGCCCCCTCATTGTTTTCCAGGAAAGTAAACTGGTACACAATCAGACCCCTGCCACTTCTCCTGCGCACCACCCACCACACTCCCTGCACCCACTGAGCTCCAAATGCACAAGCTTCTTTTCTGTGCCTAGAACAGTTATTCTCCGTGCCTTTAACGCACTTCTCCTGGCTGAACACTCACTAGCTCTGCTCCCTCTTTACCCTTTTGTATCCAGGAAAAAACTGTGCTCAGCCTCCAGACTAGTCTGCTCCCTACTACGCTCTCCCAGGGCTGTGGGACTTTCCTCCAAAATACACTGTTCTGTATCATTGTACATGGATTTGATTTAAATCAGCTTTCCCCCACTAGACGCTAAGCTCCCTGAAGTCAAAGGGCGTGTTTGTTTCTCCTCCTGCGTCCCCAGCACCTAGCACGGTGTTAGTACACAGTGAGTATGCAACAGCTATTCATCAACTAAAGGGCCGACTGAAAGCAGATCCCCACATTCACAGTGCCAAGCACAACTGCTGGTCCATAATGAGCGTTCGGTAAATATTTTTTAATTAGATTGAATTATAGCCAGTTCCCAATAACTAGAAGAGACATGTCGTTTACAAAAGATGAAGTGAATTGATTAGTTCACTATATTATGGGGGCGAGGATGTTGGGAAGTGAATGAACACAATTAGTTCCCTGTGTACTCAACGTACTTGAAGGAGGACAATTATGTTGAATTGTGTCCCTACAGAACCAAGTCAGAATCCGGTGTGCCATCGCACGCCTAACGTGCTTAGAAGAGAGAGACAATGTTAATGGTTAACTTAGCAAAACCTTGGTTCTTTGACCTACTTCGGTTTGCTTTGCACGTAACTTGCCAGGAAAAGAAATTCCAGGCTTTCACCTCTTGCCCACTCACCAAAAGTCAAAGGAGAAGAGAAAAACAAGGTGCCTGGACTGCGTCTGCCAGTTGCCCAGCAATGAGCTAGGAAATTGTGCAGATCTTCTCGGGAGCCCCAAGGCCCCACAGGGCAGGCATCGCTGCGGACGTCTGCCAGCCACCCCCCACTCAGCAGCAAACGTCTCTGCCTCCCCAAAGATTCTCTGCAGCATCAGGATGCCATCCCTCTGGGTCGTGGATTCACCGGCCTGAAAGGCCATTCCTCAACACCCCAACTCCTGCCTGGCCTCAGACATGTGGCCCATGCGCTCTCTCAGGAAGCCTTTCCCCACTCCCAATGCATCCTTCCTCCTTCGTGCCATCTCTGGACCTCCTGTAGACATCTGGCCACCGATCAGGAGAACCCAGCCTGAGTCACACTTAGGTCCATAACCCAGCTCTGCCACAGACTTGGGTGAGTCACTGGGCCTCCGTGCGCCTCACTTACCCCACTTATAAAGTGGGAGCATCAGTGCCTACCTTCCACAAAAGTGTAGAATAGTGCCCGACACAGTGCAACCCCCCAAAAAGCCCTCGATGTTGTGCTGGGGGACGAGGAGCAGTCCTCCCTCTCCTCTGATTTCTCCTAGGAGGGCTATTTCCCTGACCACCCATGGCCTCTTGCCCCATCAAAGGTGGTGTGAGCTGAGTGGTGAGCTGAACAAGGAACCGCAAAGCGTATTTCTGCTTGTTCTGTTCTCTCTCTGGAAACTGTCGGTCTTCAGGGAGCAAGCTTCTCCTCTGACCCTTCTTGCCACAAGCTTCTTAGGGCCAGCCACCATGTGCAGGAGTCTGCGGGGTCCAGAGCTGCAATGAATGGCTGGGGGAGTCTGGCTAATTCTGGGCTTCAGCATCAGGGAGCCCTTGCTGGTGCCTTCCTGGGCCCCACCCCTCAAGCCCAGGAAAGGCGTGGCTCTCCACTGCCCCCCCCCCCCGCCCCATCTGGTCTCTTAACTGGAGAGGGATATTAATTACCCAGCCAACTGGCAAATGCCAAAACCTATTGTTATTTTAACAATTAGTATTATAATGCTGTAAATAATCTCACTCATCCATATCCCCTACAAAAATGTGTGTTCCTGGAGGGGTGCTGACACAATATATGAGACAAATAGGTACTTACTTAATGTTTATTTGCTTATTGGACTAGATTGGATTTAAATGACTTTGAGCATATGGCCTGTGTTCCCCATTTATGTGGCATCTCCCCAAGGCCTGGTATACTGATACTTACATAAATAGTGCCTACATGAACACACTTTGAATAAGTGAAGGGTTTACGAGTTGGCTGGTAAGCAGTTTGAAATGACTTCAGTGACGGTGCCAAGCCAAAGACGGGTCTAGAAATTGCATTGTTAACATAGGGCTGTTGGCCCAGAGCAAGAGGACTTGGCTGGGGGACATGAGGGGTTGATGAGCGAGTTTCTTAGGGTGACCCTCTTGTCCTGGTTTGCCTGGGACCTTTCTGGTCTTAGCACTGACAGTCCTGCAGTCCCAGGAAAGCCACGGCAGTCGGTCACCCACAGGTTTCTAGATCATTAAACTGCCCCACCAGAAGAAGTCACACTCACTCCTGGAGCCAGCTCGGGGACGGTAAGGTCCACTCTTAAAAAGCAGTGTCTGTTCAGACCACAAGACACAGAGGGAGCTGCCAAGGATGACACTATGACAAGTGTGCTGTGAAGGTAGAAACAAGGGGCACACTGTGCCAGTGACCTCACCCAAACAAGACAGCAGTGGCTGTCCGCCTGGAGGACTGTCACATGGACAAGGAAAGGACCCACGGGACATTAAATCACTGGTTGTTTGCCCAGCTAGGCTCAACTCCCCCTGCTTCCTGGATTAGGAAACCTCAGGTCTGTTTAGGGACCAGTGTGGCCAGCCCCAGGCAATGAGTCATAACTGGTCTAATCCAGTGGTGTTCATCAGGATTACCTGGAGGCTTAAGACAGATTGTGGCCCCACTCCTGAGTTTCTGCAGAGGGGCCAGTGAATTCGCATCCCTAGTAAGTTCCCAGGTGATACTGATTGTCCTGGGGCCATCACATTAATCGGGACAACTGTGCACCCCACTTTCCCAGACACTTGTGTATCTGGCAGTGACCCTGTGACACAGTCCTAGTCAATGAGATCTCAGCAGAGGATTATGGGGCTATTTCTGGGAAAGCATTTTTTTCTGCTGAAAAGGTACAGTTACAGGTAGAGTGGTTCTTCAACCCTCCTGCCTCTTCCTACAAAGGATATGGATATGATGTATGGAGTTATAGCAGCCATCTTGTGACTATGAGGCAAGAGGCCAAGACAGGTGCAGAGAAACCACTCCCTGTTGTTGAGCCTCTGAAACCACGCCAGGAACCACCTACCTCTGGACTTAGTATATTACACACACACAAAAATCTTATTTGCTCAAACCACTGTGGGTCAAGTTTGCTATTTACTGGAAGCCGAAAGCATTCCTTTCAGACACACAAAGCCCGCCACATGGGGATTTAGTAAATGCCAACTATTTTATTGTTGGATTTCCAGCCTCATCGTAATTTTACTAAAAGGTAGAAGAAGAAAGGTTTTTGGGGTATAAACGTAGGGGCTATGGGGCCTGGATATAAAGTCTGACTCCACTCCTCACCAGCTGGGTGACCTTGGGGAAGTCACTTAACCTCTCTGTGCCTGTCTCTTCACTTATAAAATGGGTGTACTAAAATGCTTACCTATGGTGATTGTGCACATGCAATGAATCCATACAGGTAAAATATTTAGAACATGGCTGGCCCTGAAGTAAAGGCTACAAAGAGTAGGTGTTATCATCATG